TTTTTTGTTTTTTTTTTGGTACGACAATTGTAACATTAACATGTCCATTGAAAATGTGTTGCAGTACAATACTGTACAGTTTTATGTAATTTGATATTATATTGGTTTGGTATGAAAGTTTAGATATTAGGAGCTGTAGTTATATGGGAAGAATGCGATTTACAGCTACTGTAGGGTTTTAACTGAACCACGAATACTTATTCACAAAAACAGTCTATATGTTTGGGGTAAGATTACAGTCCCGTTACGGAATTATTCCGTTTGAATTTGTAACCATTAGATGCACATTTATTTTAGTTATTATGTGCGTCTACGGCTACAAATTCCAACATAATGGTTCTGTAACGGGATTGTAGGCATATGTGGTTTGATCTCACGCCAGTATAAAGGGGTGTGAATAAGTGAAAATGCTAACTGGAAAAATTTAACTGCCAAATAAAGTTACTGTCTGGCTAATATTCTAAATTTTAGTATATTGTAATCAAATATCAAATATATTCAACCAAATCTGTGCATGGAGTTATATAAGCACAATATTTATTGGGTAGTCGGTGAAATTGAGATAGATGGTTATTTTTCAAGTATTTTATATTTTGATGTTAAACTATATGATATACCTCTGATGTTTAAACAAAACTTCAAGATAACCAAAATATGATTTGTATCTAATAAGTAATTGGGGAAAAATAATGGGTTAATGGGTCTTTAATGGCCTTGGGGTTTTATTAATGGTCTTTAACAAAAACAAATCTAGAGGATTATACTGCGTTAATTTAGATAAAATTTATTTATTTTTAATTTAATCCTATTTATAAGTTAGAGAGGGTTATATTGTGTTAATTTAGATAAAATTTATTTATGCTTAATTTAATTGTACTTATAAATTTAATAGGATTTATCAATATTTTTTTATCCTCGAACAAATAATAACTTAAATTTGTTTTCCATAACATTCTTAGTAAAGTATAGTTGTTCCACAATATTTTTTATAACAAATAATAAATTAAATTAGTTTTCCATAACATTTAAATTAAATTTGTTTTGCCTTCATTCCAATTCCATTTTTGTTCAATTTCTCATCGCATCATGGGCGACGACTGCGGTTGAAGGTTCTAAGCTTCATGGCATGTTATTGACGGCATTGATACTTATCTATAGATATATCAGAATTTTCTCTTTTACAAGTTTTCACTTTTCACCCTAATTTTTGTGACTTTGGTATTAAAAAGTTTATTTTGTTGGAATAAATTTTTAGTAAATAAATTTTAATATTTAATTATTTATATGCATGGATTGTTTTATACTAGTTAATTCATTAACTATAACTTTTATCTACCTAGTTATATAATATGTTTACAAGTTTCTAAAAAGATAGTGTAATATTTTAAACAATATGTACATATATGTTTGTTTCTAAAAGATAGTTTGACATTTTTTTTTTTAAAAAAAATATTTACTTATATGTTTTTTTAATCAAAATTAAAGTGAAATATTTTACATTGTGTTATTTCTATATTAAAATTGAAAAATTTAATTGTTCGTGAAGTATGAGATGTGGATAAAAAATTATTAAGAATAAAGAAATTATGTTATTATAGAATTTGAGATGGCCCGTAAGCATATCCAGTGATGTCTGTAGACACTATGAATAATTAATATTTCTATGGCAAAGAAATATCAAATATGTACACATAAGTATTAAAAAGAAAAGTTTTTAAGTATGTGGTGTGGAAACTGTGGGATCTAGTAATTTTACTTAGGAACCCAATTTTAATGTTAAATAACGAGTTTGTGGTTTAAGTCAAAACGCCAATTTCATATAAAAATGTATTTACTATAAATATAAATATCTATATGTGTATGATTTATTTTTATTAAGAATAAAATTTAAAAATAATATGGAATTGGAGGATAATGGGTCCCATATGTTTGTATTTAAATGAATGATTGAATATGTGTGTGTTTAAATGAAGAGATTTTTAATAGAAAGATGATGACGAGAGAGAGTGTAAATTGTGTTTGAATGAATGTTAAGGATATATGGATGCCTAATAAATAATAAAAAAAATTAATCTAGTTTGGTGGACTGCGGCCCCATACTTTTGCCGTATCTTAAATGCAAATCAAATTTGAAATTTGGAACAGAGAATTGGTTCTCTATCCCTTCTATATGTAATTCCGAATGCGCTGAACTTACGTGACTGCTTTTGGTACTTTGAAATCATACTTGGCGAAAAATCATGCTTCGTAATTAGTTTTAGACAAATAATATTGATATATTAATAATTAATGATCTAGGTTCGGACATTCCATAAATATTATTTAGCTAACTTAGGTATTTTAATATCATTAATACTAATATAACCCTTTAATTCTTTATAATTTCATATAATCTATATCTATATAAGAAGAATTACTATTTACTAAAAATAGTAATCCAAAAATTTAGAAAAACATTTATTACATACTATTTTAGGAATATTTTTTTTAAAAAAGAAATTATTTAGGAATTAATTTGAAGTCTTATTCAAATTATTTAGGAATATGTTACAAAAAAACGTGCCAATTTGGTTTTAAAATTTGAGATTTGAATAGATTATACCAATCAAATTCATTCCAAAATCTGTTCACCATTTATGCCTTATCCAACTCATTTTATTTTGATTCATTTTTCAAATCAATTGAAAGTCGTGCAATCTTTTCAATAATTGAATTTTATTTTTTTAACTATTGTTAAGTTAATTCGTGTTAGGTTTTTTTTTTTTTTTTTTTTT